ACTGCTCAATGCTGACCAGACCTATTGTTGCCCTTGTTCCACCACAGATGCTGCTACAGATCGCCGATGACTTCATTGAGAGTGTGGTGACGGCCGCCTGCCAGCTCGCACGGCACCGCAAGTCCAACACTCTGGAAGTCAAAGATGTCCAGTTGCACCTTGGTGAGTGACTCTTACCTGGTTTTTTCCCTTCTCCCCCCAACTCTCAGCTCCTCCTGGAGTCAGGGCACAGCTGCAGTGCTGTGGTGGAAGCCTGTGAGTAGATAATGCATCCCTGCCTGTGGCAAGGGGTTGGAGCTGGATGAGCTTTAATGTCTCTTCCAACATAAACCATTCTGTGAATTCCAGAGCGCCAGTGGAACATGTGGATCCCGGGTTTTGGTTCTGAAGAAATCAGGCCCTACAAAAAAGCCTGCACTACAGAAGCTCACAAACAGGTAAGGAGCCCTCACAACACCAGGAATTACATGGAAGGCTGATATGAGGATGGTGGTCATGGCCTCCTGGCATTGTGAATTTGTGGCCTCTTCCAAGTTGTTCAGACTGGAAATGACTTCCAGAGCCTCCTGACCTGTTATGTGCAGTGGGCTGAGGCTGCTGTGTCTCCTCAGCTATGTTGGCTTTGCCCAAAGAGAAGCAGCAGCTCTTGGTGCTGAGGAGCTTGGGAGGGTTAAAACCAACAAGGAGCTGCACACAGGCACTTCTCGGCTGCCCCTGGCAACCCCATCTCTGTGCAAAGGGACTGAAAACACCCTTAATTTTGCTTTTAAACTGCATTGGACCATTGGTTTTTAAGCTGTGGTGAGAACTGAGAAGGAGCTGCCCTGCAGTGGGTTCGTGAGTGATGCTGCAGCTCCCACTGGGCAGAGAGAGGGACCTTGAGATGGGCTTTGATTCCACTGCCCCAGGTTGCCAGGTGGAGCAGCACAGATATTTCCTTCTTCTCTTCAGCCTGGAACCCCATTAAAATTCAAACAGACCTGAAAGACCTGTGTGGAAGCAAGTCAGACAGCGTCCTGGGAGCACCTGGGATGCCTTGTTTCTGCTGTGGGTGGTTGTGAAGTCACCTGCTCTGAGCTGCTCAGCTTCCCATGGTTTTCCCTCTCTTGTTGCAGAGAATGGCACTGATCCGCAAAACGACCAAGAAATAGCCCCTGGACACAGCCGGAGACACCACCAGTGCAGTTTGGGATTCCTGCCGCTCCACTGAAGCCTCCATGATGTCACCTGTGGGATATTTTTTTAATGCTTTACAGAGAAGCATCTATTTTTTATTAATGGTGCAGCAATATCTTGACTTGATGAGGAGACCTGCCAAAAACATTCTACGCCCTGTTCTCGTTCCTCCTCAGAATGCGACATATCTCAAACAGACTTTTATTTGTGACTTGAAAGTGGTTTATTGTACAAGTGATTATCCAAGGGACAGAGCATTTGATTGTGTGTGGGACAGTATTAGAAGTATCTGTAGAGGTTTTTGTTTCCTCCTTCCTGCCCCTACCTGCTCCAGTACTTTGTAATGTCAGTGTTTATATAAATACTTGCGTTTGTTTTACATGAATAAAGAAATTATTCTAAGCTGCTGGCACAGGCTTGTGCTCTTCAGGCAGCATTGCGCAGGGAGGGTCCCTGTCACCTCAGCTCTGTGTGTGGTGCTGTTCTGTGGGAGAGCTCCTGGGAGTTTACAGGGAGCAGAATCGTGGAATATCCTGAGCTGGAAAAGATCCCCAAGGATTATTGAGTCCAGCTCCTGGCCTGCCCAGGACACCCCACCAATCCCACCCTATGCCTGAGAGCACTGTCCAACACTCTGGAGCTGTGGCAGCCTTGGGACTGTGCCTATTCCCTGGGGAGCCTGGTCATTGCCCAAGCACCCTCTGAGGGAAGAACTGTTTCCTAATATGCAATCTATCCCTCCCCTGACACAGCTTCAGCTGTTCCCTCGAGTCCTGTCTCTGGTCACAGGGAGCAGAGATTGGAGGTGTCCCTTGGGAGGAACTGCAGATGCTGGTGAGTCTCCCGTTTCCTCCAGGGTGAACAAACTGAGTGCCTTCAGCTGTTCTTCCAGAGGTTTCCTCCCCTCCAGACCCTTCTAGACCACAAGGATTTGGCCAGTCCCTCACCTGCCAGTCAGGATGGCCAGGTCACTTCCCTCCTGACCTCCAAGCCATTGCTGGGATATTTGGACTGTTGGGAGGGGGATGTTGTGACAAAGCAGGATGTCAGGGTGCCCCTGATTCTGTCTGTGCCTGGACATAGAAAAGGTCACATGCCCCTATTCCCACTGCTCTCCTCAGACCTCAGGGAGGCTTGCAGGGGCTGTGTTGTGGGGATGCAGGGGTTAACAGCACGGCAAACTCCTGCACGACAGGAAGGCTCCTGCAGCCCTAGGCAGAGGTGGGCTCATCCTCCTTGTCCAGCTCTCTGGAGGCTCCCGGTACCTGCAGGGGAAGCCAGGGTGGGTGCAGGTCCTTCCATGACTATCCCGGGCTCACTGCTCATGTCGGTGTGGGGTGAGGAGCCTGGGGAGCTCCTTTCTGCACCTCTCTGCAGCAGAGAGGGGTTTTTTCAATTTATATTGTATGAAGATTAATCTGAAAGGGAAAGTGGGCATTTCCTCAGAATGGTATGTGGTTATTTTTGTGTTGGACTCAGCTAGGCATGTACTCAGCCGGAGTGGCAGATATATCATCTGAGTTCTACAATAAATTTGTCACTCTTAATTCTATTTTGAAAGACTTAAAGATTCAGGGATTTATGATAGGGATCTCAGTCAGTACAAGAGAGAATAGGGGAAGGGGTGACATTGACTTTTGCAGGCCTGTGGGGTTCCACCTGAGGACTTCACCCTTCCAACAAGCTTCCTTTTTCCCAGGAAAACACAAGCAGGCAGAGGGTGACCAGAGGTATTTAATACAGCCATGCCACCCCTGCCTGTGCCTGGCTGCTCCATATCCATTTCCCCTCCTGAGCCCAGCATGTCCCTGCCTTGCCAGTGTCCCCAGCTCTAGCACAAGCATCTCTTCCGCTTCTCCTCCTTCTCCAGTGCCTGAGCCCTGGGCAGCACTGGCAGTGGGATGCTGCTCTTCACCCCGTCCCACGCCTCAGTGGCCACCAACCGCCCCGTCTGCAGCGCTTGGTAAATGGCCACCGTCAGCATCTGGAAGGCCTGGACCACATTGGAAGCATCTTTGGCTGAGGTCTCCACGTACTGGACACCCAGTGAGGCTGCTAACTTCTCCGCCTCCCTCTGGCCCACCCGGCGCTGCCCAGCCAGGTCACTCTTGTGTCCCACCAGCAGGAAGACCATGCGGAAGGGCTGGATCGAGTCAGTCACCTCTCGGTGCCATTGCCGGATGCTCTCAAAGGACGCGCGGTTGGTGATGTCGAAAAGCAGCATTCCCCCAGCCGAGTTGCGGTAGTAGGAGCGAGTCACGGACCTGGGGTGGGGACACCAAGAGCAGGGGAGTGAGTGGCCCCTGGGGTTTCCTGTGTCACCTCGGGCAGCATGTTCCCTGCCTACAGAGTGGCCCTGGCTAGGACCTGCTCCTGCAAGCAGCACCTTGCGTTCAAAGCACCATGAGAGGAGTGAGAATCAGCCTTTTGCTGTGTCAATAAGAGCTCCAGGGGCAGCTCTGTCTGTGCTCAGCCACCTAAGCTCGTCTGTCTCCTGCAGCCACAGCCCCCAAGTGCCCCTGTGTCTGCAGCCATGTCCCCAGGGCTCCACCATCCCTGCTGTCATGGTCCTGGAACTCTACTGTCCCTGCTGCCATGTCCCCAGTACTTTCCCATCTCTGCTGCAACAGTCCTGGAACCTTCCCATTCCTGCAAACCCAGATCTGCCACTTTCCCATCCCCTGCAGCCACATCTCCCAAGCTTTCCTGTCGCCAGGAGCTGCCTGGCTGGTGGAGACAGCCCCACAGTGAGGTGTGAAGGCTTCTAGCAGCTGAGCTGAGGAAGATGTTTTGCCCAGCACTCAGTGGGCTCCCAGCTGTTCCCCAGCCCCTCTGCAGCTGGTGTGGCAGGGGGGTTCTTGGGGGAGTACTGCACCCCCTTCAGAGCAGGAACAAGGGCTTACAAGGCAGTCCCAAGGGCTCCTTTCCCTCGGCTCTTGACATGGGGTTCCTTACCCAAAGGGACAAGTGGGAACACAGCCACATCAACAACCTCTTTGGGCTTGGAATCACAACACTCCACCCCAAATCTGGAGGGGGACACCTATCTCCACCACCCCTCCTGACCCCATGGACCCACCTGAACCTCTCCTGCCCGGCTGTGTCCCAGAACTGCAGCTTCACTTGCAGCCCCGGCTCCAGCTCCACAAATTGGACGTAGAAGTCCACCCCCACCGTCTGGTTGACAGCGTCCAGGAAAACACCCTCGGTGTAGCGCCGCAACAGTGAGGATTTCCCCACTGTCGAGTCCCCCAGCATGATTACCCGGAACTGGTACTGCCACCGTGGCTCCATCAGTGCCTCTGGTGCCTGCCAGGACCTGCCACCCCCGCACCAGGAGCGTGTTCAGGCAGGCGGGGAGCTCCTCCACCCAGGAGGCGTTCCCTGTACCATTGGGGCTGTGTGGTCCCTTTGGAGCCCCTTTGTCCCCTTTATTTTGGCTCCATCCAGCAGGAAGCACTCAGGGGTGCCTGCTCCCATTTTCCCATGGACAGGACACCCTGGAAAGTGTCCTAGACAAGGGGAGCTGTTGCCCCACCAGCAATGCCCCCAAAAGCAGAGGATCCCCCATGCCATGGATTGAGTGCTGTGCCCCTGCCTGGGATGCAGTGCTCAGCACAGCCTTTATTTAGTGTGGAAAAGACTTAGGTTTATTAAAACACTCCTACAGCAGAGTACTATTTTTTCAGAGCCCCCAAATTAAGGTTTGAAATAAACCCAAGCCCAGGTGGGAGACCCAATCCCATAATCACCCAAGGGCTGCAGGTTCTGGGTGGAGAGAGAAGCATCCCCACAATTTGGGGTCCCATGTCCCCCTATCCCCATCAGCACTGACAGCGCTCCTGGGGGTCCCTCCCTGCCAGGGGCTGGCAGTGACTCTGTTTGGGGATGAGCCTGATGCCATCACATCCCTGGTGTGGGGCAAGGATCCCCCCGGCCAGCGCCTGCTGGATGCCTCCAGCCAGTGTCTGGAAGGCCAACTCCACGCTGAGGTTGCTGAGGGCCGAGGTCTCCACGAAGGCCATGCCCAGAGTGGCGGCGAGGTGTCCGGCTTCCTCTGCTGACACGGCTCGCTCGGCCACCAGGTCACACTTGTGTCCCACCAGGACAAAGGCAGGCAGCCGGTCCCCCGCAGCCTCATGGTACCACTCAGGAACATGCTCAAAAGATGCTCGGTTGGTGAGGTCAAACACCAGCAGCACCCCTGCCGCACTCCGGTAGAAGGACCTGGTGATGGATCTGGGCATACCCAGCAGATTTTCAAAGGATACTGGGAAGCTCTGACACCGACAGCCCTAGGATGGGGCTTGGGAGATTTTTGGGTGACAGCTTGGACCCCCAGTAGTTGTAAAGGGAGACCTGTCTTGTCTTGTCTATTTACACCGCTCTTTTCTGTTCAGCATCCCTCTCCCCAGACTGGGGGGCTCCAGAGGAAGCCTGTGGAGTTGTCAGGGTCTCTGTGGTACCGTTTATCCCCCACAACAGCCCCAGTTGCAGTGGGGATGGGGCAGCGCTGGACAGAAACAGAGCACCACCAGAGCCAACCCTGGGGTTCACAAAAGGTTCCCGGGATGGGGAGGGCCTGGGAGTCCAGCTCCAGCCGCAGCACTTTGGTCTGCAGCCCTTTGTGCCCCATTTGAGCCTCTCTCACACTCCCAGGTGCTTCTGACTGCAGCCTGATGCAATCAGGAAAGAAACCACCCAGCCCCAGCCCACCAGCACACGGCAACGAGCACCCGGCCGTGCTCCCTTGGCTGCTGCCCTGAACAGCTCCAGTGTCACTGCAAGCTCAGCACAAGGTGTCACCATCCCAGTGAGCCATTGCTGTCTGTCCCTGCATACCCCGCTGGGGATTTACAAACACCCCAGAGTGGGAGGATGACTCAGTGGGGTGCTGGGGTCCACACACCCACCTCACCTGAACCGCTCCTGACCAGCCGTGTCCCAGATCTGCAGCTTGGCCTTGCCGGTGGGTGGCATCAGGATAGTCCGGCTGTAGAACTCGACGCCAATGGTGGGGCCTGGAGTGGCTGCCCCACCAGGACCCCCACCCGGCCCGTCCGTGAAGCAGCGCAGCAGTGAGGACTTGCCCACGGCTGCGTCTCCCAGCACGATGACACGGAACTGGAAGTATCCCTCAGGGTCAGGATCCTGGGGGGAATCTGCCACTGTCTCCATGGCTGAGCTGACTAGATCCCAACCCACCGCATTCCTGCTGTGCTAGCAGCGAAAGGACAGGTCTCCACCCTTGTCCCCACCCCACCTGGGGACAGGGACAGCTCTGGGCCTGCAGTCACCTGGACAGACAAACAAACTGTCCCAGGGAGGGAGTAGCTGCCAGCTCCGTCCTCATCCTTCCCGGTAACACCGAGGAAAGAAGTTTAAGTCTTCTTCCCAGGTGTACATACAAAAAAGGGATCGGAGCTGCTGCACAGCTCTTTCAACCACTTAGGAAACTCACTGAATTAATTTATTTGCCTTTTTAATTCCCTTGTTTTTAAAGCAATTTTTATCCATTTACCTGTTTCCCAACAACCAAACTCCAAAACACAAACCCTAGCAACACCCCAGCATTTCAAACTTTAGCAGCAATACAGGTTCAGCCCTAATCACATTGGCATTTAGTCTTGGTTGTCACCAGGATGTTGTTCAGTGTTGCCACATGCCAGCTGCACATGTCCGCCTCTACTGGCAGCCCCTCATGTCTCCACTGCCTGGCTTTGGTGACAACAGGGACAGCCAGGCAGTGAGTGCACAGACTCACTGGTGTCCTCAGGAGCCAAGATCCTGGGAGAGCTTCGAGATGCTCCACAGGGCATCAAGACCTGCAGGTAGACTAGAGGAGCCTGAGGCACCAGCTCAATATTCCATGACAAAATTTTACCTCCGGTTCAGAGACTTCACCACAGCCCAGCCATCCAGGGACAGAAGAGAGTGGCTCCAACTCAGAGGCTCTGGCTCCCTACAACCCATTTTTCTTCATGGTGAGGAAACAGGCAACCAGAATCACCAAGGCTCCAGCTGAGGGTGTTGGAACATCCCAAGGTTGCAAGAAGTTGCTCTAGTACCTCCATGGAGGCCCAGGTGTTTCTGCATTCCAGGGACCCGAGGAGGGCTGTGGGGAACACCCCACTGGCAGGGTGCTGCAGCAAACACAGGACTTGCCTCTGAGCACTGGTGAACTCCACTGGAAGGGGATGCTCAGGCTCCATGGCTCAGAGCCAGCCCAGCCTCACCCCATCCCAATGCAACTCAAACACACGAGACACCACAAGGATTTGAAGTAATTGCATTTATTAAAATCCTATCACACACAGAGAATAGTCCAAGTTGGAAGGGAGCACATGGATCACCGAGTCCAGCTCTTAAGTGAATGGCTCATACAGGGATCAAACCCACCACCTTGGCATTACTGGCTCCCTGCTCTAATAAAGTATTTAATATCCAGACACCCTCCTGAGAAAACTCCATGGAACAGACTGTTCTTCCAGGTGGAGCATCTGAACTGGAGCTTCAGCAACACCTGGAGCCAAGCCAGTTCCATCTCCCTCCACTGTAGGTGAATGGAGCCCAGAAGTGGCTAATTCCACTTGGTGGAACTCATAGCTCAGGAAGGAGCCAGGATCTGGCTCTGCAGAGCTCCCACTTCTGGAGGAGAGGGGTGGGAGAGAACAGTCTGGCACTGCAGCACCAAGTCCCTCAGGGATGGCTCACCCTCTGCTTAGACCTGAAAAAAGGGATAAAAAAGAATCCAGCTGAGTGATGAGCAGTCAGGCTCAGTGCAGTGTCAGATTCCATCCACATTCCAGGACTCCTGGATGTCCCCTCCCCGCCCTGAGATTTTGGGTAGCTTATGCCTGGCCTCAGCCCCATATCCGCAGGACTCATTCAACAGTCTCCAGACTCGGGAATCATCACAGACCAGGCTGCACTGCCACTGATCTCACCCACACCCCGCACCACAGATGTCAACTCTGGTCAATTAAAAGCCTCTGAAACAAGGTTGATCATTCCCACCTGCACAGTCCCGGTGAAAAACTGGCCACTTCCAGCACAGTCAGCTTGAACTGTCCCGTCCTCCAGACCCCACTCCAGATCACACAATCCCAGAATGGTTTGAGTTAGAAGGCACCTTAAAAGCTCACCCTATTCCACACCCTGCCATGGGCAGGGATACCAGACCAGGATGGCCTAAGCCCCATCCAACCTGGCCCTGGACACTTCAGGGATGGGGCAGCCAAAGTTTCTCTGGGCAACCAGGGCCTCTTCAACCTCACAGCCAAGAATTTCCTCTCAGTATCTAGTTTACCCTTACTGCCCATCCCAACACCAGGAGTTCCCCAGAGGACACTCACATGTTCTGCACTGCAGCTTTTCCACAACTCAGGTCCTATGGGAAGCAAGCTGAAGCCCTTGGGACAGGGCTCACAGGTTCTCATCTTTTTCCACAGAATTACTGCTGAAAAAACAGAGCGAGAGTTTAGTGCCTGAAGCCAGTGGGTCACTGTAAATCCATGGCTCAGATATTCCTGACAAATTCTAGCCCCCCAACCCTCATGGCATGTCTGCCCCCTGTGGCCAATGTTTATCCCTTCTCCCGACCAGGAGTTTCCTTCCCAACCAGAATTCCCAAAACAGTGAGGCCAGCACAGCCTGTCTTCCTAGTGGCCCCTCTCAGCCAGGACACACCTGCAGAGAGCCCAAGACCAGCATGAATGTTACTCTTCCTCCTTTTTCGACCACAAGATCGGTATTCAGATCTGATGGGAAAGGGATTTGGAGGGATGAGCTGTGGAGATCCAACAAAGGTACTACCCTCTCACCTGGGTTTATCCATCAGATGGGTGAGTTCTGGAACACCCAGGACTCCTGGAAGACATCACAACATACCCCCAGTATCAGCAGTGGGCTGCAGACTTTTGTGGACACACCTTTGATTCATTTCACCCTGGAACCCCAAGCAAGAAACAGCTCAATTCCCAAAAATGTATTGGAGGGGTGAGTGACAGTCACAGGCAGAAGAGGCCCGGCAGTCAAAGACCTTCCCATTGCTCTGGCATGTTGTTGGAGACCTGCAGCTACTGCATGGAGCCACAGCTCTTGGATTAACATGCAGGTAAACACAGAGTTTATCCGGTAAAGTCTGTGACAGAGTGATTGACTAGCTCTGGGATCAGGGCTGACACCCTGTTCTGTCTCTAGCGAGCCCCAGAGAGAGGAACTGCCCGTATCTCATGCACACATGATCTGGATGGGGCAAGGACTAAGGGAGTTTGCAGGGTCAAGACCTATGAAGGATGCACAGCCTCGGAACAGCATGCGCTAGCACTGCCCAACAGCAGAGGGGCAGCAAACGCTGCTGGTTCCTACTCTGGTCCAGGGAGGCCACAAAACCAACCAATTCTCAGCCTCTCAACAGAGGACTCCAGAACCTGGATCGCCCATCTCACCTGCCCAAAGCTGAGGCTGTCACCAGCCATCCCATGTCCCGGGATCACCTTCTACACCAGGATGCTGCTGGGGAAGAAGAGAGTCTTGAGATTTAAGTAAATTGCAAGAGAAGTAAGTTAAAACAAAACTACAGAAAGACGGGATACATCCCTTCCCCTCCTCCCACGCCGTGCATCAATACGGACCCCAGGGGCAGGGATTTGCGGCGGCCGCCTCCTTCCAGCACCAGTAACCCCCCCCAGCCCATGGCGGGTTCTGTACTTTCCCGAAATGTTGCCGGACAGTTATGAAGGTTCCAACTGAGCGGCGACCGTCGAGGAAAATCCCTTTGCTCTCGGCTCCTTTTTGACTGCATCTACCACAGCACCGACAGACGCAGCTTCGATAGGGCCGGGCGGCTCTTCCGCCCGCGGCCGCCTGTCCCGGGTCAGGGCATTAGCTCGGCCTCGGGGGTCCCTCACTCACCCGGGGCCGGGCCCGGCCTGAGGAGGGCGGCGGGGGCAAGGTCGCGCTGCCCTTCGCAGCCTTCGCAGCGCACCGAAGCGCCGCCGCCGGACGCGATGCCCACAGGGCGCCAATGCGGCGGAGCCGATGCGGCGGGAGAACCCCAGCGACGAAGGATGGCGGTGGATGGTTCCCGACGGCAACCACACAGCCACCATAGCTCGCCGCCATGGCCGAAAGAGGCGGAAACTGCTCCGCGGCCACCTTTTATAGCGCGACAGCACGGGCTCCGATTGGCTGCTGGTGCCGGGCTCTCTCGCAGAGGCTTCTGGGAGTTGTAGGTCGCGCCGCGTACAGTCCCAGTCATCGTTCCTGCCTTTCCCCCTTCCAGTCTCCCCCTCCACCCCATCACAAACCATAAAAAAGACTCCTGAACAACCTGCTCTAGGTGTTCCTGCCCATGGCAGCGGGTGGAACGAGATGAGCTTTCAGTCCTCTCCCAACCCAAACTATTTCAGATCCCATGATTCACAACAACCCCCACTAGCACTGGGAGCAACTGCACACCCCCACCCCACCGAAATGACTCTCCAGTCCGGCTGGGACAAGTACAATTTCTCTCTCCTTCTCCATGCAAGGTCCACACCAGGGGTGCTCTTTGAAAAGCTGAAAACAGCAACTGCATTTCCCCTTCTCCTTCCTCCCTTTTGGAACGGGGTTGGGGCGGGGGG